TTTTTTTTTTTACTTCTGATGGATAAAAATTGCGCTCTGTTATTTGGTACATCAAATGTATGGTTTTTTGATATTGGGTGGAATAACAGAAAAAAGACAACAGAAACAGATGCTACTTCTAATTTACATATGTTATTTGAGGAATCATTAGCACCTTATCAGTAAATACATCATGTTTTTTTTCCTTACTTTTTTCTTTCCTTTAATCGCTCCCCTTTTATTTGGCAGAATAATCGTTGCTTAATTTGTTTGTCATTTTTTTTTTGTTAATACAATAAGTGTCAGTTGTAAGGGTATTTTTGTTATTTATCTTTAAATGGTGTATGTTGTTTGATTTTTTGCAGATGGATCTACAAAATGGTGGTGGAAAGCTATTTGTAAAGATAAAACGTGGCACAAAACCAAGACTTAAATTATGCGATGATTCACATAAAGCTTTGGTAGGTTAAAATCTATTTTTGCAGATTTCTTTTTGGGCATATTTTTTTTTTCACTTACATTTGAAATTTTTTCAGTTTTTTTTTCTATCTATATCATTGTTCTATTACTGATGCTAAATGTTTGTTTTTTTTTCTTTTTGCTCTTCTTTGTAGACTGTAAAATGTTCATTTTTTGGTTTAATTGTATAAATAGAGTTGTTAATTCAAAGTTACTTATTTTTTTTCTGTGCCTGTGCATGTGCTATCTTACCATATTTAATGTAGTGCTGATAATTATATTGATGGGTAATTTGTTGTTATGCTAAAAGGATGGGAAAAAAAAAGAGATGTGCTGTGACAAATAAACTAAATATTATTATTTTTTTGGCTTTAAAAATTTTTAGATTGTTAATGTTAACTTAAGTAAAATGAAAAGAAAGGACAGAGTTTCAGTTCTTTTTTTTTTTTTGTTGCTAAATTAGGGATGCATTAATTTAGAATTGTAACAAGAAAAGTATAGATGTTGGTAGTATGCTAAATGGTATAACGGTAAGGTAAATGAAACAGGTTTTATTGTCATCATTTTCCTGAATTCCCTGTTATTTGATTCACTAATCATTTTGAAGTTATTTTGGAAGAAGAACATGTAACCGATACCTATAACAGCAGCAAACAGCATTGTTGTCTGTATTCATTTATTGACTGATTGCAAACATTTTTTTTTTCTTTGTTTTTGCCGTCTTGTAGACTTTTTGGTGATGAAACAATTTATAGAACTGTAATTTAAAGAAACATCAAGAAAATTGGTTGTTCTTTAGCACTAACAAGTATTTTACATGTTTACTTTTTTTCTTCTTTAAAGTACCGCTATTTTACTGAACTCTATACGTACACACTAGTTTTAGCTAGGAGAAAACTAAAGTACACTAAAAATTGAATATTGTATCTGGTTTTTTTTTTTTTTTTCTAGAGCAGATATTCAGATTTTGTTTTTTTCTTCTTTTTCTTGCCATGATTATACAATTTGAGCTTTTGTTGATGGGTAAAATGTTGATAAATTTTACTCTACAAAGGTGTTCATACCATGCGATCACGTAAGAAACTGGCCAACCCTACAAGGGGAGTTAAGTGGTGGTCTAACAATTACTGTGCAACGGCTCGAACACCAATACAAAGTTGTTATTCAGCACGTGGTAAGCCATTGGTTTCCTGATATATCACATATTTTTATCTTATATATCGGCATTATTCGGAAGAGATATAAATTGAGAGCAAAAAAAAAAAGAAAAAAAAAAAGATAGCAGTTTTAGGTTTTATAGTTGTTAAGAAAAATTAGCATAACATGTTTTTTGGCAGTTTTAAGCTTTGAAATATGGTCAACAAATATGTTAACTTTTTTTTTAAATTGCTATAACACTTTTTTTTTTTTGTTTGTTTGATAGAACACCCAAACGACTGATCAGAAAATAATGGGTCACATGCTTATTGCGCTTCTTCAGTAACACTTTCAGTTGACATAAATTACGAGTACATAGTTTTACCTTAGTTTTCAATAAAATTTTTTAATTATTTTTTAAAAGCATCAAATTTTTGCAAATAATTTAAATTAATTAATTATTTATTTATTTATCTTTTTGTGAAAATAATTTTCGAGGTAAAATTTGGATGTTCGATAAAATCTGTAAGGAGTGATATAAAAAACTTTAACTATTTAATATGCACATTTTTTGCTCTATGTATCATTAAATTTGAATGTAATTTTTAGAGTGATCGAAAACCAAGTGTTTGTGTTTATGTAAATTCGGTGGCGAAGGAGAAGAATTTGAAAACAAGCGTGAAAGTGATAAACACACAAATGAGCCACATTGGTATTGCTGGCCCAAACCTCGAAGTTTGTAAAGCTATCTTTCTGTTAGATTCAACTTAGGGACAGTTTTCAAAAAAGCACTTTTTTTAATGTTTGTTATTAATTTTTCTGGATTTTCGAAACAGCAATTACAAATCTTGTTGATCAAACGTCATGTCTAAAGTGCTGAAGGCAGTAAATATAGGTGATGGGTAACATAAAAGCACAGAAAGTGACCTTCGAATCAACCTTCGGCGCTCTCCATACAAATGCCAAATTGGTTGCAAGAAGTGTCGCACTAAATGCACAGCAAATATTTATCAAACCAGAGGCCATGTATTCCTGTCAGATGTTAAGAGTATGAATTTGATTCATTTTATGTTTAAAACGGCATCAAAAGTTGTTTTGTATTTATGATTACTGCCGTCGCTCGTAATGAAGCAAGTTTTTAGATGATTTCAAGAAAAGTTCAAATTGATGGCAGAATATATCCTCTGGAAGCAAATGCAACTGTTTTAAATGTACTTGTTGACTCAGCATTGCTTCATATCGGAGTTGATGGGATGATTGGAGCATTTCGATCTCCAACAGATAATTCAGTTAGTCAATTTGGTTTAATTAAAAAGAGTTATTGTCATCTTAATCATTATTTAAAAATCTGTGTGACATTTTAAGGAAGTGTAAAAACAGTAAATTTTAGGCAGCAAAACCTTCAGATATGGTCGTCAATAGTCTGGTTTTAAAACTGAAGGGTAGCTTAGCAAATTATGGTAAAATATGTTCAAAAACTAACATAGATTTACAAATTGACGGAAGCATATTGTCGCTGGAAGATGGTCGTATTGACAGCGCTGGCAGAGGGTTTGGCCGTTTTATTGGTTGACATCTGTCTAATTTGACAATAATTCATAATGTGCTCTAGAAAATTCAATAGCATCTGAGAAGTTTTTTGGACTTAATGTAATGATTGTTTTTTTATGGTTTTTGCAAAAGTTCTAATGTATATTTTGATTGAGTATGAAACGAAGTAAATTTTTAGCTTTTCATTTTTAAATTAGATCGTTAAAAAATATAGCTTTTGGTAAAACTGCTACAAAAATGTAAATCATTTTAGACATAGTTTTATTATCGGTAGCGTAAAATGAATATATTTACCGGTGAAATTGGAGTATTAATTTTATTTTTAATGTGACAAACATTAAGAAATGATTTATTCTTAAAATTATTTGGGAAGCATTCTTTTAAACCACCAATTTTTGTAGTATATCGGACTGCCATTGATCTTTTTTTCGTTCAAAAATTTGCTACTGGTCATAGTTTGTTGCAGGTATACTGCACTGAAACAGATTAAGGGTATTTCAAGCGAAGGGCCTCCAAGCTTACCGACTAGCAGCAAATTAAGTAAAGCTATCGAATCCCAGAAACCAGATACAGTTGCTCAATTATTAGAAGGAGGTGTTGACCCAACAGACGTAGTTACGGTATACTCTCCGTTGCTTCTTTCTAGACTATTATTTAAGATGACTACTTTTTCGTATGTCAAGCTCACTTTTCTAATACTTTTACAACTTCTACCTACAGTGAAAATTTTCGATACCTTTTTGTTGTTCACATTACTCTCCGGAAGTTACTTAGGTCAAGTAAAAGCTTTTTTTATATAAAAATTTTGGGTCAATTGGCCAAGTCATTTAATATTGAATCTTGAGGCTTTTAATAAGTTTTTGAAACTTTTAATTATCTCATTTAGTTTTTGCACTTCTCTAAAAAGGTTTATTAGAAAAAGTTTCTTTATTGTCTGATTTCAAGTTTTAAGAATTTCACCGCTGAAGTAATAAATATACTTTCAATTTTTTAATTTCTGAACAACTTTTTAAAGATGTTTTATCAATATTATCAGTTTTTTGAATACACAATGAAAAAGTAAAGAAACTTTTCTGTTTTTGGTGCTTTTTCATAGGAGTTGTTAGGACATAGTTCAATTTTTAAGAAAGCAGAAGAAAAAGGCTTAATTTCAGCTTGATATTTTATAATTTGCAAAAAATCCAGAGAGGTAAATACCGATCATTGTTTTACTAATCTTTTTTTCAAATAAATCACTGGCTAATTTGAGTGGTAGTAATAGATGAGATGTGTTGCTGAAAGATCTAGAAGTCAAGTGTTATTAGAACAGTGTTACTGGTGTATTACAACTACGACAGAAGTAATAAAAACTCAAGTTTTATTTTACAGGAGAATTCACTTCGTTGTACGCCTAAAAAAATTGCTAATATGAAGTACAGGGAAATACGAGACAACGAACAGAGAAATAGGTACAGAGAGCGTATAACAGTAATTCAAGCTTTAATGGCGACAAACGAGTGGAGACGTGGTTTGATCTGTTCAAACTCAATCACCGCTAAGGTTTTTTGAGATTTGTAGCGGTTTATTGACTTTTAGTTAATCGTTGTCTAAAGTTTGGTCACCTTTTGTTGATCCTGCTGTCTGAAAGCTAACAGAAGTTGTTAAAACTTTTTAGGTGGGTAGAGACTGTAAAGACTGTGCTCAGTTTCGAGCCATAAATCTCGACTTGACTACGTTGGGCAGTGCACAGTGCGAAAGTAACTCAATCTGGAAATGCGGGTCAATATTACTTGCTGTTAGTAATGATCTGAGCATAGAAGGTAAGTATTAAAATTGGATTTGTGTTTTATAGTTGTTTTGGTCCAACCTTAAGTGTATTTTTTGAAATTTCAGGTCAAGTGAAAAGCCGTAATTTAAGTGCAACCTGTGATGGGAATGTTTACATTCAAAAGGATGGCATTGTCTGCCAGGATACTCATGCTAAGGTAATTTGTACATCGGTAATGTAGGTATGTTGTCGTTGTAATTCACTATGTTGATTGACTGTTTGGTTTTCAAGGTAAAATGCAGCGATTTAATTAGTTATGGCATCTGGTATGTTGGGGAAAGCATTTATATCGAAGCAAAATCTGCAACATTTTCTGAGTCTTCATATCTTGAGGGTAACTACATCTACATGCAACTGGAGAAGGATTGTCAGAACGGAGGTATTTTTTATAGCTTGATAAATTTAATAATCGTATTTCTGCTCAGTATTTTTTTAATTACATATGTATTACAGGTATGTGGCAAACAAATCGTTTGGATTTACTGACAAGCGGCAATTTGAAAACACCCCATAATGGCAAAGTGGTTTGTAATGAAAAAGCGACAGTTTCTACATTTGGATTTTCTTGCAGTGGAGCTTGGAAAATCACAGAAAGTTTCCAGATCAATATCAAAGAGTCTGGAAATTTTCATCAAAAGAGCTTAATAAATGCAAATATTCTAAAATTGATCGACGAAGGCTGTTGTGTTGTTTCTGGCAAACTCAATGTCCAACAGCTCCTGATATATGTGCGAAATGACCTGATTACGACAGAAACGGGCCGTGTCACTGTTGGCGTCACCGGTACTGTTGCAGCTGGAGCGTTCAGAAACGATGCGTCGTGGCTCTCAGAATGCAACTTACGTGTTCATTCAGCATGTTTTCAACAATCAGAAGACGCAATAATTTTTGCGAAAGACAATCTTGATCTCGCAATATATGACAACTCAGTGGAAAAAAGTCACGGCCGAATTGTTGCTAACAGTTGTGTACTTCGAGTAAATCAGAAAGTACGTTTTGACGGTTACATACGAGTCAACCAAATGGAAGTTTACTTACCATATTCAAATGAGTCCCAGTGCGTTATCGGAGGGCAACTGGAAGTTATATACGGTCCTTTAATACTTAAAGGCAGAAGCGAATTTTCATCAGCGCAACTTCTATCTACCGGTCATTTGCACCCAGCATTTATTCTAGAAGGACAACTTAAAGCTGAAGCAGTAGTTGCACCATTCCTCGCTGTAAGGTTTGCCGCAACTTCCTATGCGCTGTTATCCGGGACGTCGTCTGTTGCGTTAGAAGAAACGCCATATAGAGCAATTTTGTCGGCTGGAGCTATCTATACTATGCGAGCATCATTTATCGATTCTGCGTCACCTGATGACTTTCCAGAAGCAGTTTTATGTGCTTCAAATTGGATTCATGAAGGGCAAGTGAGATTTAAAGGAAATAAGGCCTATATTATCACTGACAGGTTTATTAATCGAGGGAGACTGACTAATGAGGGTCGCCTACAGAATCATATGCACTCAGTTTTTGTGTCGGTTAGAACTCGATTTGAAAACGAATCAGTGTTTTCGGCGGACGAAATTCATATAACTGGTGTTGGAGAACTAGAAAATAGAAATAGAATTTTTGCCACAGACACGATGTGCATAAGACTTCCTAACTTTTCAAGTGATGGAAAACAGGTATATTCTGGAGATATGAAGCTTTTATCTGCGGATAAGGAGAAGCCAAAGTTTAATGGACACATCGACACGAAAGCAAACTTGGATATTATGGCTCCAAAATTGGTCATGGAAATAAAAGATTTTGCTTTTCGGCCACAGATAAGAATGAATGCGCAAGCTCAACTGTATGTTAACAGTGACACCGTGAATGGCGAAGCTACAGTTTCTCTTTCTGCAAGGGATGCAATAATTTTTGACAGGTGCAAGGTGATTGCTGAGTCAGTCGAGATAAAAGTTGGTGACGCTTATGAAACGGAAGTAAATGTGTGCGAAAAGAGCAGTTTACGAAGTAACTGTTTGAGGATCTCTGGAAAATGCAAAATATTAACTTTTGTTATCGATGGAATCGTTGAATGTGATTCAATCATCTTTGATTCGTACATTAGAAATGTTAAAATAATCGGGAAAGGACAGCTTATATCGAGATGCTCGCTGAATTTTGATTCAAAAAATGCTGTTTTATCAGTTACACAACTGCAAGCCAGCGAAATCCTTGGTACTTCAATTGAGATATCGACAACACATTTTGCTAAAATTCTTCCAGTAAAAAATACGACAGCGACAACAATATATGCCGATGCTTGCACTGTGAAAGGGAAGATTTTTGCAGAAGGAAAATTAAGTTTCAAATCAAGTAATGGCACAGTTCAGTTTGATGGGAATTTGATAGGTACAACGGCGATGAGTGAAGTAAGCATCGAAGGAAGCGATGTTGTGCTAATTGGAAGTATATCAAATCTAGAATTCCTGGAAATCTATGCGCGTAAACGCGTGGAATACTGTAGTACGGCATCGATAACAAATACAAAAAATATTGCTGTTGAAGCCGGATTAGTAGCTTTTGATGGAGTAATGTCTAAGTTTGATACGCTTATTGTAACAGCCGAAGAAATAATTGTCGAAGGAAATTTGAGTGATGCAAAGTCAGGTAATGCTTCGATGTATGGAAAGAATATCCGATATGAAGGAACTGTTGATGGTGTTCTACAGTTGGAATTTAGCTGGTTAGTTTATGGTTTTTAAACCACAGTGATAGAATATTTTTAATATTACAATTTTATTTTATTTTTCAAACTTGCTCTTCTAAAAAGTCACATTTTTTTCAGTCAAGCTGATGCATATATAGCGGGAAGAATTTGGGGCGTTGACTGTTTTAATGTGGAAGCGAAATGGATCATGTGCAACTCGAATATTGAGGAATGTAAACTGCTTAAGTTTGCTGCTTATTCGACAGTACTAGATGGAAAAATAAGTTGTGAATCTGTAACAGTTAATGCTCTTGAAGTAATATTTATCTACATCTGCACTGAATCTATATTATGCTCGATGAATAGTCCATTTGTGATTGCGTTAAACGATGGAAAACCAATTTCTAATAACGTTGACGTTGCCGCACTGATATGTGTTGCCGATAATCAGTCAACCATCAAAAATGTTAAAAGAGTTTTAACTGCGGTTTTATTCACCTCGGGCGAAGAATATACGACTGGAATTAAAGAAAGTTGGCAAACAGCGATAAACATGTTTCAGCAATCTTTTCGATCTCGTAGCATCAGTCATGATTTTGTGGCTGCTGCTTTGGACTATACGGACCAACTGCAATCTTCTGCCTACCTGTTCTCTTATTCGTCAGATTTTTATAAACGAGCAAAAGCGTTAGCAGACAGATTTCGTGTAGAACATGCAAGTAACTTCGGCTATCCTGAATTACTCAAGATAATGGAAGAGCAAACGGATGAAATGCACAAGTCTCAGAATTTCGAAGATTCTTTGCCAAAGTCTAGGTAAATCTGGCAATTATGTCTCCTCTTTCAGACATCGACACGTTGCTAAACTAGAAAAGTCTTTAATTTCTATTTTTTCAGCTTTGAAGCCGTTCAGCTTAGGGAAACAATGAACGATGTTAAGGTACGCTTATCGAAATACACTTCACAGTCTCCACAGTCCTCAGTCGACGATTATGGGTATGGTAGTCGAAGTTCTAGCGAAGATAACGATGAAAAATTATCGTTGAGAGCAAGGTATTTTTACAACTAATAAAAGGAAAATTGTTTGGTTTTTTAATTGAAATCTTTACTTTTTTCCCTCTTTCTTTTCTCTTAGAGACTTGCAAGTTTTTTATATTTGCTCCAAGCTTGATCAAACCGTTCACAAGGGCATTTTTCTTGTAGTTATTCACTGGTCATTTACTGAGTTTTCAGTTGCAATTTCCCCGCGAAAGGTGGCAGAAATTATTTTTTTTCAGCGTTTTCTCGTTCATTATGTACGATACAAAAGTTCTGCTGTTCTGCTGTTAAGTGTAGTCTATTTAAAAAAATTGGAGGAGAAAGATAGGTTCATGAGATTTTAAGAGACTTAATCAAGGGTTCAATGAGTTTTCAGTATATAAGAAAAATATCATAATTTTTCAATTTTTTGATTACTTTTGGAGTAAGTTTGTGCAATTGGTTGCTTCTACTGATTTCTTTCTTATTTTCTTGAACGTTAAAAAAAGACGCTTTTACGTACATTGGAGAAAGGTTGAAAGGCCTCTTTAATTTTTTTGGTCTTTGTCACTGAGCATTATGCTAGCGACTTTTATAGTGTCATTAATACAGTTGCGCTAAAATGATAGAACTGAGAAGGTTTTTCAGTCCTGTCTTAGAAGAAGTAGTTGCGTGTGATGCGACTCTAAATAACTTGGGTTTTCTAAATTACATTTTTTGTTGTGGTGTTACCTGGTTAGCTTATTATAGCAGTAATTTGTAGCCCAACAATTTCGGTGACAAGGTATGAAGAACAGAGTGGTATCTCAACAACCAGCGCGGCCTATGAGCAATCAGATACTGATTTCGACAGCTATAACCGATACCTATCCGTACCTTGTAGCATCTCCGCATCAAACGATGGAAGGTATGCAAATCTTTTTTCACTTCTAATTGCTTCTTGGTTACAAGTGGAATTTGTCAAAATATGTTTTAAAAATAGAACTCGGTCCATGCCTATAATTTTATCTCAAGCTTTTCACGCAAAGAAGAAAGTTTACTTATTTTGATCTGGTATAAGAAAAGTTCAAATTTTTGATCTAGTTTCATTTTGTTTTGCTTTACATGCACTGTAATTTGGTAATTTTTAATAACTTTTGTATGAGAATTCTTTTTAAAATTATCTAGCTGTAACAGTGCGGACAGGGATGACGATGAATCGGGGAAGGAGAACGAAATGGCTTATGTTTTTAATGGTGAACGAAAAGTGCCAATTGTTTGTATAGATTTTGATTCTCACGATATTGCTGTTACGAGGCCGCGGTTTGAAGTATCTCGTCAACCTACCCCTACCAATGATCTCGCTTTGAAAAAACTTCAGGTTCTGTTTTACTGTTTATTGATTTTTTGATTTCATAAAGGCTGTCTATGGTTACCGATCGGAATTTTAGGTAAAAACAGCTTTGTCAAGTTTCGACTTGCGCAGTTTTGGCAGCGAATCATCGCTTGCGTCGTTTGGTACGGTGGACTATGCAACTCCGATACAGGTCGTACGGCCACCTCAGCAGAAGTCGCTAATTCCACGACCATCGTTTCCAAGAGCGTCACCTGATGTTAGCTAATAACGAATGGCAAAGAAGGACAAAGAACATTTTGCATTTGCTAATAGTTTTTTTTTTTGGTTATTACATATTATTCGTAGTAGTCGGCGACGTTGTTTCTTTGTCAACTGTCATTATGTTACTTCTGAATAGGTCATCTAAGATTCACTTGAAAAGCTGTATAAGACTTTCGCTTTATATTTATCATTTCATCTATTTTTTACCTTACATTTTTCTTTGCAATTTTTAAGGTTTAAACAACTCTCCTCTTTTTTTTCTGATTTGCTACTGATACTTTTTTTTCGTCACAAGTGGTGGTCGATATCTGGAATCAAGATAGCAGTAAGAAGTTTGGTTTCTGACCTCATGAAGTTATTTAGTAGACGGTTCAAGTTGGTATTTTCAAACAGAAGTAATTTATAATCCTCAACAGTTTGCTTTTTTCTCATTCTATGCGTTTAACAACACCAGCATCAAAACAGCTTGTTAAATCTTTAGGGATATGATTTTTTTGGATTTTTTTAAGTCTTATTTTTTATTGTTCTACTCAATAATTATTGCGGACAAATTTTTTTACCATCAAGACTGTTGAACACAAATATGTTTTGGGTTTTTTTTGCTGTTTTTTCAGCACTATTCAACTATGAAAGAACATTTATTTCAACACTCAAAAGTCAGAGAAAGAGAAGAAATGAGGAGGAAAAATGGAAAAAAGAATGAAGAAAAGGAAGAAAAAACGTGTTTTATTGACTTCTTATTTTTATTTTTCTTTATCTACACTTTTATCTTTTAACTATTATGGAAATTAGCTCTGTTGAGAAAATTTTAAGTATAATAAGGATTTGAAAAGAAAGATTATATATTGTCGCCTATTGTCAGACCAACAGCCGTCTACATTATCAACTTTATGTTGGTTTCCAGTATGTTGTTTGGAGGTTCAATAGTTTTTTTTGGATTTTCGCTATTATTTTCAGTTTACTTTTAATATAGAATGCGAAAAGGAAGGAGAAGAAGATGGATTTTGATTATAAAAAGTCACAAACGATACAAAAAAGGAACGGAATAGGTAGAGGTTAGGAATGCGCATCCAGAAAAAGCTCAGTATTTGTTCTGCAGAGAAAACTGCATTTTTATCTGCTTCAGTGGTTTTTGTTTTCTAAGTTCAATTCTTTATTTTTTATAACACTTTTATTATTTTCCACAAGTTCAGGCAGTTTTGAAGGCCACCACTGAAAAAAAAAAGGGGAGAAGGAAAACGAGGTGGGAGGTTGAAGAAGCAGGTGAAGAAAAAAAAAAGAAATGAAACAAAATAATCTTTTGAAAGTTTTGAATCATCAACTGTTATTTCTATTATTACTAATGTCATTATTATCGCTTAACATTTCAATTATATAATAATTATTTGTCTATAATAGTTGTTGCTGTTCTAAGATTGGTGTATAGTTTTCTTTTTTTTGTTATTTTTTTCAATTTTTTTTGATTTATTTTTGGTATTTGTCTAAATACAGGTTCAGAATCCGTGGTTAAACTGAAGAAACCCCGGTCCAATGGTTGTTGTTGTATAACTCATCTGATCTTCAAACAGTAACACCTTTTATTTCATTATACTACTTATTGTAAATTTGCTCAAATATTATGTTTTGTATTGCTCTTCCGTTTTTCTTTTGTCACCAACCGAAAACTTAGCTTTCTTTTTCTTGTTTCTTTAAATTTTCGTGTTTACGGGTTTAAATTTGTTTCTTGTTTTTCCTATGTATATTTACTTCTGTCCAATAATTATTCAGTTCAAGCACTCTGTTCAAAATGTTCGTAAGGAAAAGCAAAAAAAAAAAAAAAAAAAAAAAAAAAAAAAA